TAAGTAAGGTTCCAACATGCCCAACACATGACTCCTCCGTTGGATAGCATTCGGGCTGTAAAACTGTTATCAATCTGATTTGATTGACAAATCCTTGAAACTTGGAACGCGTACCATCGAACTTATCCAAAAGGCTAACTCGAGGCTCCTTATGTTATAGAACCAGCAGTGCTTGTCAAACCTGAGGTAAAATTGCTTCTCCAAGTACAGAAGTTTGAGGCTGGTACAACCTAGATTGTGCCATCCCAGATACTCCATCATTATAAAACCTTGCCACAACTCCTTCAATCTCTGCAGTTCTTTGCGATAACGTAGCGAGGGCATTCATGATAGCATCCAACTTGGACTTCGAACTTTTCGTCATACTAATGTTTTGTCCCCTGACCATTCTAAGAGAAAGTCAGAAATGACTCTACAAGAAGACAATATTGGTTTAGAGGAGGGTACTTCGCAACCTCTAAAATGCCTTAAGAGCTTCAAGAAAAGGGGTAATCCACTCTCTCCAAGAAGAATAAGACTCCAATATTGTAACAAAAGAAGTATCAGTTTAGAGGATGGTAATCCGCAACCTCTAAAATGCTAGTACACTTCCAAGCAGAGAGGTAATCCGCACTCTAACGAGGAAGAAACTAACTCTGATATCTGAGGTGAGTGAAGTCTAGACAAACTGTCACGGACACAAAAATACAGACTCGAGATCTAACAAGAAGTTTAAGAAGAACTGGCAAGAACTAGATTAATCAGATGAATACAAGAACAACACCAGAGAGGTGAGCTAGAACTCCAAGAGATGTGTTGTCGAGACTGAAGAACTCTTCAGCCTCGATTCCAATATATACTCCTATTTAGGAAGCTTCTCAAGCAACTTCTACCAACTAAGAAGCTTCTAGAAGGTTCCAAAGACTTGCTTCTAGAAGGTTCTAGAAACTTATCTCTAGAAGGTTCTAAGGACTATATTCCTAACATCTTTTACCAACTAAGAAGTTATGAAAAAATAATCATATCTTGTCACCTATGTTGAATTGTGGTTGTCCCTTGCAATAGGTATCTCCATTAATCTTTTGTTGTACTTGAACTCGTTTTAACTATGTCTTCATTGTTGTATATAGCTTTGACAAATAAATTGTCAAATCATTTGCCCCATGATTATCAACTTTTGAAAAGTCAAAAATATCAAGTTGTGGATGATCATCATAATTGGCAAAGAAAGATATTTAATGAATGGATGAATGTATCAAAATATTGTATGCAAACTTTGCCAGTGATAAAAGAATTGTCCAATCATCTTGATGATAGTTGATGGTACACCTCAAGTATTGCTCTAAAACTTGATTCATCCATTTTATTTGCCCATCACCTTGAGGATGAAAAGTTGAAGAGAATTTTATATCCACCTTTAAAATCTTGAAGAGAATTCTCTAAAATCTTGATATGAATTGAATCTTCTTATTTGATATAATATCTTTAAGCAATCTGTAATAGCAATAGATGATGTTAAAAAAAGCTTAACCATTTCTTCATCTAAAATTGATTTTGTACACAGTACAAAATATACTATTTTGACAAAATGATCTACTACCATAAATATAGAATAATACAAAACTAAGATTGAAAAATTTGTAAGAAAATTTTTAGAAACGGAAGTCCATGATTGTTTTGGAATAAGAAATGGCTGAAAAAATCCATAAAGTGAATAGAAATGAGTTTTGAATCTTTAACAAATATCATATGATTATACAAAGTCTTTTACTACCTTTCACATTTGAGGCCACTAAAAATCTCTCAATATTAGTTCCAAATTCTTGATGTATCAAAAATGTCTAGTTGTTGGAAAGTCATGACTAGTTTGAAGAATATGTAATCGTGTCCTACCTTCTGAAATAAATGATTGTTCCTCAAAATAGATTAGATTATTCTTGAACTTGAACTTAAAAGTATCATGAAACTTAGAAGAATTATTCTTGATATTATTGATAAGAAGATCAGAGGACATACTTGATTGAATTTGCTCAACAAATATTGAATCAATAGTCAATGTTGATTTTGTTGCTCAAAGGTGAAAATATTCAAGCTTTAAGAAAATTATTCTTTGTTCAGCAAAAGATGCATTTCTTTCTTTTGATGCAAGATAAGAACGTCTAAAAAGGGTGTCCAACAAACCTTATTGTTTTCTAAGTTGATAAGTGATCTTGAAATCAAATCTTGATAAGAACATGCTCCAAAAAGCTTTGCGATAATTTAAAAGACATGTTGATATGAGATACTTGAGGTTCTTATGATTTGTATACATGGTGACTAGACTCAAGGCACCTTCTAAATAATGATATTATTCTTAAAATGAATCCATGATTGCAAGGATTTTTTTTATTGTGGATCTCATAATTAATCTCAACTACTAAAAAAAATTGAAATGGAAAGCTACTAAATGGAATTTATCATCTTCTTTGATTTGTGATAATATTGCATTGAAGGCAAAGACTAATCTATCTATTACCATAAAAAATACATTAGAGAGGTCAACATGATATAAGATTGGTGTAGAAGTAAAATTCTTTTTTAAAGCATCAAATAATACTTTGGCATCTTTACTCTACTCAAATTTGTTTTTACAAGACAAATATGTAAGTAGAGCTATAACTTGAGAAAAAAACTTGATAAAAATCGAATAGTAATTGACAAAGATCAAAAAGTATTACACATCTCTTACTGTTCTTAGAATCTTACAATCCATGATAGTCTATATCTTCTTCGGAACTATCATTAATCTTTTGTTGGAAATAATATATCCTAGAAAGTGAACTTGAGTAGTATGGAATATACATTTTTCTAACGTGGCATATAATCCTGCATGTCTAAGTTTTTGTAATATATGAATTAACCTATTTTTATTTATTTTTACCTACTTCTACTTAATTTATAAGAATATATATGTATATCTGTGATAGAAGTATGTATATTAAAAAAGAAATTGTAATGGCTATTGCTAAAAGACCAAGAAACTAAAAACTCTTCAAATTAGACTAAAAATAAGAAAGGAGTTGACAAGAGTGAAGAAGACTTCATTCTTGCTTCTATATATACTATCTACCTAGGATCTATGTGGTGACGTTCTATAAGATCTCCTAAAATATATTGACTTTGCATGACACGTATTTTAACTTGCAAAGCAAGTTTTCTATATGGATACCACATAGTTAACTTGTTTTGGAAGCTACCAACACATGTGGCAAATGGTTAGTTTATTGACCTAATTTCTAACCTATCAATCAACTACAAAGATATATAAAGATAAAAAAATATCTAAAAAGCTTCTAAAAAGCTTTTCTATGAGGTATTTTTGGATGAGTAAATTTATAGAAGATTTATCATATATATATATATATATATATATATATATATATATATATAATTTTTTTAATACATAATAATAATAATAATAATTAATAATGCATATGCTCTTCATTATAGTAAGTAATGTTTGATTATATCTTAAGACAATTTTGTATCAAAAGGTATTTTTAAATTGCATAAAAATGAAACTAAGGTAATTTGATTACAATTCAATAAAAATTTAGGAGTTTTTGTAATGTTCCATCATAATTACAGGTGTAGGCCATGATATGGGCCTATCTTGGCCCATTAATAGTAAGCATAGAATAATTTGAGATTATTGAAGAATCACATGTGCTTTGAGATTACTGAACCATGTGATTGTTGAAGAATATTAAAATCATTGTGAGTGATTGTATGTGTTAAGAAAGATGAGTAAAATAAAAATACAAATATCTTTAAATTTTGCTTAAGAACTTTGTAACTAGTAGGCTAGATTGCTTTGGTAGAGTTGTACATAGACAAAAGTTATCAAATACATTTCAATGAATCCTAAGCGTTTAGGCCCTTAAGTCCACACTTTAATTATATCCTGATGACTTGCTTTAATATGTTACCATTTGTTGTTCTCAGATACCATGATCTTTCTAATACATGCCTTGTCATTTATATGGTTGACACCCCACAAGTTGTATGAGCAACTCAATGACAGGCACCTAATTGTCAAATCACCTTCAAAATACTGACAAGCAAACAAATGCAGGATTTCAAAAAAACAGTAAAATAAAAAAAATCAGTTACTCACATCCAGCCAAAAAATATATATATTTCTGGAAACGGACACCCATTTGAACATTTCTTTTCATCCAGAACGAGCTGGGTGCCTAATCCTCTTCAGAGCCATAGGGAAGGAGCAGATTCAACTCCTTATGAATGACTTAACTTGATCCAAATCCCAGAAAGGCAAACATTAAAACTTATGTTACACATCAACTGGCTATGCCGCACTATTCACATGGAAAGGGACAGAGGTGGGTTTGGGGGGGGGGGGGGCACTTACTGTGGCGCTGCAAAGCCCCCCATTTGTTTACAATTTATCCAGCACTCGAATGCCCCCACCGACATGACGAAAAAAGCATTGGACGGATGAAGACCGATTCCTTCCAAATAGTGGACGGAGCTCACGTGCGTCGCGTCGCAGCGCATATCCATCAGTGCCTGATTTTGGCTTTGGCCCAGCTTTTGCCCATAACGCGGTAGTGGTGATAAATGGAAAGCGCCGCAGCGGACACGGCTCCACCTCCGTCTTCGTCTTCGTCGTCCCACCAGCGAGCGAGCATTCGTGAGTGGATGGAGGGAGGGCTTTCATGTAACAATCCCTGCTGTGGGCAAAAAGCCCCCGCTCCCCCGCACCCCACAGCCCCACCCACGCAACGTAAATGGCAATTGAGCTTTACAGACTGTGGGCACCCCTTCAAGAGCCTGTTTTTAGGAGGTTTGGTAAATGAGTGAGCCCAAAGGCGAGGCCCCACCGGAGGTGTCATGTCCTCTCCATATCTGATCCTCAAAGATGCTGTCCTAGATTCCTCCCAATCTGGTTTGCTCCCACATGACACTCCTCTGAACTGAACCTCAGTAGTTGTTGTTATTTATTTATTATTATTTGTTTTTTCTCGTTTCCCCTTTTTCTGGACATGTGCGTTGGGTGTTATTTTGTAGTTTTCCCGCTGTTTTCCTCATGACACGGAGAAAGACTTCGTGTGTGCGTTAGATATCGCATTGATCAGTGTGTTGATCTGGTTTCGGTTTTTGAGGATTTCGCTGCCCGAAGTGAGTCTTGCTGGGGTGATTCGGGGTTGTGAGCTTTGTGTTCATTGTACATGAAGTTGGTTTGGAAAAAGCGCAATGCAGGGGAGAAACAGAGAGAGAGGGAGAGACCAGGGGGAGTTTCAAGTGTAGGAGAGGTTGTGGCGTGGGTTTTGATCTAGTCTTTTGACGTAAACAAGGGCGTGGGTTGTGGATTGTAGGCACGAGAAAGGTGGACCTTCGATATTGAGTCATTTTTGTGGTGATGGAAGATCCGTTACTGCCGACTGGCAGCGGGCTGCGACGTCGGGGTGAATCCTCTAGCTCTGGAGGGTTTGAATCCACTGGGCTGAACAATGTCATTGTTGGGCGACGCGGGGATGCCATCACCAGGGGAGACAAGTATCAGAAAGCTGCCGCCATGGTTGATCAGGTACTGAAACGAGATTCTTCCCTGTCTCAGATGGAGGCAGCAAGAATCGCGAGCTTTGTGCTGAGGTTTTGCTCGTGAAGTAATCACTTTAATTTTGTCCACTTTACTTCTCTGACTGGTCTTTGCAGATCGCAATGTGCAATCCTCTCTGATTTTAACCTTCTCGAATAAATCGCTGCATTGTTGGAAACCAAGGACTAACGCCGCTGCCTCGAGTTTTATGTGATATTTTATTTATTATTTTTTTCAAATTTTTAATTGTAATTAATTATTTATGTTCATTTTTTCTTGTAGATTTGGATTGTTGTGTATTTGAATGAATAATTTCTTTCGTGCTGAATTTATTTGGTGGATTAGGCTGAGGATGGAGTCGGTCTGCCACCGGAGGTTCTTGAACAATCCAATTTCGAAGAAGCTGCCAAGTACTACTTCGCATATATAAGTTTGGATTTTTTGTGGGAATTGAACCTCGCCGCGTTACTCTTGTTGAATTTCTTTGAAGTAAGCTTCATCTAACAGCTTTTCAAGACCTTGTTTCTATTTTTTTTCCTGCACCTCAGAGTTTATCAGAGTTGTTATAAACGTTTCATTCCTCGCGACATTGTTTCGTTTGTTGGCTTTGCAGGTGCCTCTTTGGTGCAAGGAGAGCTTTCCAACACCATGTGGAGATAGAGAGAAGTTTTTTCTGGGAGGCCTTCCTTATTTGACTCGACATCAGTCGCTCATCACTGAGGTTTGGATCACTCCGCAAACGTAGCGTACTGCGCTGAATGCAGTAACCGATTTATATGCTGAACCTCTCAGTGAGAAGTGGAGTCCTTCAAGCCGAAAACACATCCCCCGTCTTTAATGTTTGTGAAGAGAGAAGTAGAAGTGAGGGTTGCTTCGTTGTAAAACATCGCGACCATTTTTATTCTTTCATGCTGATTTAAGTGCACGACTAATTTGCAGGTTGTGGTTCTCCTCATATTGGGAGTGCACACATTCTTCCCGATTGCTTTTACTGGAAATAAGCTGTTTTGGAGGAACAATCTCAATCTTTTACGAGTGAGCCGTCAACTGTCTCTTTTTTTCCTCTGAAACTTCTGCTGTACAGGTACACAATTTCAGTGATATTTCCCACTTCACGAGATAATTTGATCATCTAATCTGTACGCAGGTCTCCTTCTTTCTCGTATTGGCGTTGGATACAGTTGTCAATGCTATCTACATCATACCAACCGGTTTTATCTTCAGTCTGCCATTTCGACTGGCCCCTTATCTAAGAGTTGCCGTCGTCATACTGAACACTCGGTATATTTAACGACCTTGAAGGATCGTTTAACGATTATTCTACTTGGTTGGCCCTGCACTACTTATTTAATTATATCTTCTTGTCACGGTTGCCGCTAGTCCTTAATGTACTTCCTTGTTTGTATTCATCAGGGGTTTGCGTAATTGTGTGAAGACTCTAGCAGGGATTATCCCAGATTTCGCGGATATTGCTGTAAGTTTGCTACATTGTTTTTGAACTTCGATCATTTCTATGCGTTCATTCTTAGCATTTGAAGCATTACAAGTTGTAACCAAAATCTTGGCCTGAAATTTGTCGTTCAGGCACTGCTGGGTTTGTACTTGCTCTTCTCGAGCTGGTTGGCATACGTGATGTTTGAAGACACAGTGCAGGGCAAGACCACATTCACATCCTACTCAACCACTCTCTATCAGATGGCCATCCTTTTTACAACCTCCAACAGTCCCGATGTTTGGTTGGATGCATACAAGTATTTCTCTGATCATGGTTTTGCTCATGCACTGCTATGGATGTCGTCATGAGCTTCATTCAGAGGTTGTAGAGTTTTTTTTGATCATGATATACATCTTTAACATAAAAATCTTGTTCGTTGCCTGCTGTATAAGAAGGTTTTTCTTTCTTGTCTCGTGATATTTGCTCTATTTTTTGAGAAGGGGTGGAATGTATGGTTGTTTTCTGTTTTACACAATAACTTACGGATCTATTCTCTCTAACCAATCACTTTTGTTCCAGGTCATCGCGGTTTTACTCCCTCTTTTTCATCCTGTACATCTTAATTGGTGTTTACTTCTTTATGAACTTAGTGCTTGCCGTTGTATACGACAGTTTCAAGGGCCAGGTAAACATTATCCTTATCCACTTTTTGTACACAGGTCATAGATTGTATTGTAAACATTTTTCTGTTAAAAACGTGCTTGCTCTTCGTTCTCAAATCAGTCTTCTGCATCACTTCTGTTTCCGCTGGTTGGATTCATTCAGTATTTGAATACACATTGAACCTGCTTCATTCTCGCAGAAATTTAGAGCATTCTGTTGTCCGTCATCGCTCAGATGATTGTTGTCAATCGACTTTTGAGAACCTCTCAGTCTAACCAAAGTGGTGCTTATTGCATCAGCTGGCCAAGCTTCTGTTAAATGAAGCGAATGAGCGTCAGCAAGTTCTGGGTGCTGCCTTCAATCTTCTTGATGAACAGGTTAGCTGCAGAGTGCGTCCAGACGTGTAAGCTGTAGGGATGTCTAACATTCTCCTGTGGTGGTTGCCTTTGACAATTTTCATGCCCTGAGCTGTGAAACCCTTCTTGGATATTGCAGAAAAGAGGTTTTTTGGATAAGCTTCAATGCGCTCGTTTATTTAAGGAACTCAACAAGTACCGGTATGAGTTCTGCTAGCTTAGGAATCACCTTAAAACTTGAGATTATTCAGGTGCATGAGAAGTGTATTGTGGCATTGTGTGTTGAAGCTGCCTGCAAATAGCGCCACAAATGCATATAGTCCTCCTCACTGCTTAACGATCTGTATTCGTGTACTTCAGTCCTAAAAGTAGAATCGAATTTAGAACATTAGTGGATTGCAGTAAGCTTTTGATACGCCTTTGGTTTGAGTTCTTACTGATTGACCATATAAGCAAGTATACTGCCAAACTATCGCATGTTTCCTAAGCGACCACAGTGAGTATCTTCTTATTTTTCGTTGTTGGTGCTGGGTTTCAGGTCGTTACCAAAGATTGCAGATGATGACATGGAAGCTGTATTTTGTGCCTTGGACGACAGTGGTGACTTTCGGGTAGGCCCGTACACTTTCTTGTCTTCCTTTCAAAACTGATATCTGTCGCACGTAAGTGCTTCTTGCTCTTCTGAAACTCACATCCTGCATTATGGGCTACAGATCGATAGAGTGGAGTTCAATGATCTTTGCAATGCTATCTCATTGAAGTTCGACAAAGCTGATGAGGTATTGATTTCTTATAACCCGTTATTGTAACATATAGGATATGATATGAGTTAGTCTCTGTATATATGTATTCCTCGATTACTCTTAATTGCATTTTCTGCAGTATTAATCTTTATTATAAACGTACGTATCGTACAAACTGGCTTCTCACATATCGGTTCTGTTTGTGTCCATTGTAGCCCTCATGGTTCGAGTACTATCCAGCCTTTTACAACTCTGCTGCGCTCAACGCTATTAAGGCGTTTGTCAGGAGTCAAACCTTCGACAAAATTGTGATTGGCTTTCTGCTCATCAACGCCGTAGCTGTCATAATCGAAACCACGGTTTGTTCCTTCAGTGGGCATTGTGTTAGAATTTGACGTGTTCTCTGTGGGTGATGCATGATAAAACCCCCTTATTCTAAGTTATGCAATTCAATAGTGCATTATTTAAAAATGCGGGATTCTCAAATAAGACCAAAATGTTAGTTGCAGTAAAAGATGTTTGTCCCAGGGAGAATTTCTGTTCAACTCAATGCTAGCATGCTATGATCATGAGTCTTTTTCCTCGGTTTGTCTTGTATGAGGGTATCGTAAAAGAAGCTACTTGTAGAGTTCGTATCTAGAATTAAAAATTCGTAAACGAAGATATTTGCGGTGTTCTATGCGCAAGTATGTTGAAAAATGTGCTTGCCTTCTGCTTTCTTATTAAGGCCATTAAAGCCTTGGAAGAAGCATGTGAACTCATCAATCGGATTCTGTTATTATGAACTTCTTACATTTGACCGCTATGCCGCAGCTTGATATTGAGGAAAGTTCCTCACAGGCTCTCTGGCAAGATGTCGAGTTTGCCCTCGGTAAGTAACATTGAGAGATGTGATTCTGCAAGTTCTTTCAAATGAACGAGTGAAAGTTCCGATGCTGACTGGCCGTAACTTTCCTTCAGGATGGGTTTACGTGATCGAAGTAGGTTTAAAAGTTCTCGTTTACGGATTCACCAATTATTGGCGATCGGCTCAAAATCAATATGACTTCATCATTACCGTGATAATTGGTAGGTTAAAGAAGATTTCTTCCCCTATTCCTCACAACACAAATATTAGTTCCTGTATACTAGTTCTGCTGTGCTTGGTAGAAACTTCAATTGACCACTGCTTGCTGGATTCTGTGCAGTGGTTTCGGAGACCGTGGCCTTTTTCACTCCCGGTGATCTACCCTTCTTCACCAATGACGAGCTGTACAACATCTCAACTCAATACAGCGTGATTTCGGAATATTGACGAAAACATGAAAAGTTAAAAAAGGAGTTTGACTTGGTGTCAGCTTGTTCTCATAACACTTGTAGAGTAGACACCACGTAAAAACCAAGTTGAAGAAGTATTCTGAGACTTATGTTTGTTATTGTTGCAGGATCCGGTACCTCTTAATTGCACGACTTCTACGGTTGACTAGGTTGCTTGTGTTAGTTGAGCGGTACAAGGTTATGGTTGCCACGTTCTTCAAACTCATCCCGAATCTTATGCCTTACTTGGGGATCGTTTTCTGCCTTATGTGCCTATTTTGTTCCTTGGGTGTACACGTACGTTCCACTTCTTATCTCGTTTACTTCTCTTTTCTATCATTTTTGTCAGTAATATTAATGAATGAAAGCCAGAGGAGAATAAATGTTTTATAGTTTCAGATGGACAGTGGCAAAACAATTTCGTATTCAGGCTACTCCGTAAGACAATGTCGGCGTTGACAACATGGATTGCTGTTGAGGCATTGTGCAGCTTTTCGGTGGTCTTGTCTATGCTGGAAATCCCATCCTGGAGACCACCTCAATGTTCGAGAGCGAGTATCCTCCCTTATTGTCATTAGAATTGTTTTCCTTTTCTTGGGATCATGCTATGTGGATATGTTTCACTAAACGAAAACTTCTCATTGGCCAGAACCCCTTGTCTAAAGCATTTTTATAGAGAACTTTACGTTGTGCAACGAAATCCTTGACTATCTCCAGCTACTTGTTGCAAAACTTCAACGATTTTTCTTCTGGCATGGTTACATTGTTCGACTTGCTTATCATGGGCAGCTGGCAGACATGGATGGATGTGAGTTTTTAAAATTTAAAATTTTAAAGAAAATACCAGATTTGCTACTGCAACTGTCTGTTTTTTGTTCAACCATGAAGAAGCTTGCATCTGTGGCGATGATCGTAAACGGTATCATCTTCAGTCTCTAATTTCTCCTGTTAACATTCACTACTGATGTTGAAGCAGCTAACATTGAATTTAATTTGCAGAGTTATGTTGTATTGACCGGAACGTGGTGGACGATGTTTTACTTCTGGGGTTTCTACGTGATTGCTGTTCTATTTCTTCTTAATCTGGTAAGGAGATAAGATCCATTTCCCGTCCCATGTACGTTGAAGAACTGACATTTGTAATTATTAAGTGACGATTATCTTACAGGGCCTCGACGCTTATGTGCACTGCATAGAGTTGCTTATGGATGGGTGATTGTGGTGTTGAAAACCGCAGATCGCTGCTTTTGTCTTGGAAGCATTTTTTGCGGAAATGGAAATGGCCGCTTCGACGAAGTCATCTGATGAAGACGGGAGTAGTAGTGATTCCGACAACGAGGTGAGAAAATTTCATACATTTTTTAATCCTCCAACTTGATTTGTCAGGGCCGAAGTGAGCATCACACAAACCACTACTAAAAACAATAATTAGTTGGAAAGACTAGTCTCCGAACATACAAAACGGTCAAGATTTTGGGCTCGAAGATAATGTGCTTAGTTAACGATAGTTGATAATGTTGTATCACAGGCCGACAGGTTCAACCCGCGGCGCAGAGCAAAGAGGTATCATTCTGAACTCGGTACCCTACAATATTTGGTAGTGTTCTCTCCTTCAAAGCCTGTCTTTTGAACTAAAAGTATGACTCAGACCACCTGAAACGTTCACAATTCAATATTCAGTCCAAGTGATAGTTCCCAGTTACATGTATCAATATCATATTTTGTGATACGTTATTGACACAGAAATCGGGCCTCGTGTGGCTGCAGGGCAAGGGACTTCAACGTGCAATCACTTCTGAACCACATGTTGAGCGCTGAAATGGAGAAGAACAAGTCTTGAGTATTGTGAGAACAACATCTAACGCTCTGTTCTCAGCTATACATTAATATTTAAAAAGATGGAATTGTGTCTGTAACAGTTCACACCCAGGATCTTGATTGGTTCATTTGTTGAGCAGCAAGTCCGAATCTATCTGAATATCTTTTCTTTCTATTTTCCTCTTTATCTTGCAACCCGAGTTCAAGACGGAAGCAAGACTAACACGCTTTACAGGTTGCTAAATTCATTAGCGTAGATGAAGCTTTATTTCGTATTGTGGTCTCGTGTGCCCATTAGTGGAAACGAATTTTCACTATCTGGATCTCTCGAATTCTCTGCTCATACTCATTCTAAAGGTATTTCAACTTAGGTGAACTACTTTTTTAGATTCCTGACAGTTGTAACCCTGTACTTTCTATCAATCATCATCTCATTCCTGATGGGTATGTGAAAGTAACTTAGATCAGCAGCTGGTACTAAGATCACATATCTATAAAAATTTAATTTGTGGTTGCTAAGTGAAAAATTGACCACTCCTAAAAAAATGTTGACCAGAAAAAGAGAAAGAACATGTGCATAACAATAGAATTATTTATGTTTTGTCATTGTGAATGGAAAAAATGATTATTATCTATTACAACTTAGGTAGCTAAATTGAAAGAACTTTGAAATGAATTATATTTATAATGGAATTTGCATCTTCATTATTTTTAGAATGCAAGATCTTGATTATAATTGGAGAAGTGCATTGTAAGAAGGCAACATACAATTGTGTATGTGTAAACACATGAATTGTAAGATCTATTCATGTATATGTCATCAATTGTGCTTGAGATTTGTTGATAGTTATTGCAAATCTTGCCTTTATTTGAAATTGCCTTTGTTGTAACTTAAATGAAATCTTTGTTGATGGGCATAATTTGATCTTTGAAAGAAAAACCAATCTTCTCTTGTAGTTTTTAGATAATAGACTTGCCTTTGTAATTTGATAAGTCAATAATGTAATGATTAAGTGTGATTTATTGCAAAGTTGACATTGTTGAGAAAATTTGGAGTGACATAAGAGTAGTTAGAAGCAATGTGTACAAAAAAACACACAAAAGAGGGAGTTTATTAATGTAGTTATTTCACATATACAAAAAGAAGAGGAGAAGATAAATAATTTTTTTCCACCACATCTCAAGTACTATAGCTATAATATTTATTATAAACTACAGTAAATATCATGGAGAGCTTTGACTACATTTAATACTTTCAATGCTCCTCTTTGCTTGTTTTAATATTTATATAATATAGAATTTACAAAAAATTATGATCTATAATTTTTTGTAATTTCATAAGATCAACAATTGCTACGTCACTAAAATCTTATCTAAAAAAACCTTATTGTATTCAAGGACATAACTATAGATGAAGAAAAAAAGAATACAATATCATTTTAAGAGTTCATTAACTTTCTTGTTCAAGAAAAGCAAGTTGTTGCATACCAATGCCATAAGTAAGTCAACAATGGTTGTACAAAGAGAGAGCTTTGGTAAAAAAATCAGCAAGGTTATTTGCAGATTCAATTTTTTTGATCATAAGTCCTTGATCAGTAACTAAGTCATGGATATAACTAAAATACTTTAGATCAATATGCTTTGTTCTATTGCCTTTAATGAAACCAACTTGTATTTGTGCAACACAAGCGCTATTGTCTTCATACAAGATAATTGGAGAATCATCATATAAAAGTCCATATGTTGTCTGAATGAGTTTATCAATTGATTGCAATCAAATACATTCTTGAGATGCTTCATGTAAGGCAATAATTTTTACATGGTTGCATGAAGTTGCAGTTATAGTTTGTTTCATTGATTTCTATGATATTACAACTTCGTGTCTTAAAAATACATAGCCTATTTGAAATTTAGCTGTTGCAATATCAAATTTATATCTTACATCAAAATATTCAACCAATTTTAGATCTACAGATTGTATGTAATATAATTTCAAATCTTTAGTGCCTTTTAAATAACATAATAAATATTTGATGCCATTCTAATGTTGTAGTATTGGACGTGTATTATGTCTTACAAGAATACTAATTGCAAATGCAATATTTGGTCTTGTAGATGTGCCTAAATATAAAAGTGCTACAATCACTATAAGGTATGGAGATTGATCTCTCAATATTTCTTCTTCCCCCTCACATGGATGGTATGGATCATGACCATCATGACCATATTCAACCATTGGTGTTTACAATGGAGTAGCATCAATCATATTGAATTTTTGTAAGATTTGTCAAATATACAATAATTGATAGAAAAAAATTGCTATCATTTGTGAGATGCATAATTTGAAGTCCAATGCAAAAAGTTATTTTTCCTAGCATTTTCATCTCAAATTCATAGATAGTAGATTAGTAGCTATAATGCATGCAGATCTAGTATTCACTAGGTTAAAATCATCAACATATAGAACAATGATTATAAAATCAGTTTTATCTTGTTTGATAAATAAATAAGAGATTAGAAGATTATTTAAAAACTTATTTGTAATCAAATAATCTTAGAGACATTGATACCACATGCAATTATATTATTTTAGATCGAATAAGGCCTTGTGTAATTTAATACTATAATATTATCTTGAAGCAAGTACATTTGGAGTTTCTGTTTTCAAACTAAGAGGAACTTTCATTTAAATATCTACATCAAGAGAACCATACAAATACACAATTATCACATCCCTAAAATACATTTCAAGGAAGACATGATTATCATTCTAATAATATATTACAATATAATTGAATCCATGATTGAAAAATATGTGGATTCATAATTAATGCCAAACTATTGGATGAATCTTTAAGCAACAAGACAAACTTTATAGCAAGTTATTTGATCCTTAGAATCTTGCTTGTATACTAATACTATCTTATATTCTATAGGGTGAGAAGTAAGAGTCTCCACAATTGGACCAAAGTCTTTTTTCTTATGTAAAGAAGCATACTCCTACTCAATGGTAGTTTTTCATTTTAACAAGTCAGAGCAATGCATTACTTCTTCAATGGTTTGAGGTTCACAATCTTTTTTCTTGTAAGAAAGTGCTTCTACAATCATGAATGCAAATAATTCATCTATTATAATAGATGGTCTATCTCAAATGTCATTTGTAGCAAACTATAGAACATATAATTTTTTACTTAACTTGGTTTTATTCTTCCTAATTTTAAGATTTTTTATTGCATGAGATGAAGGTATAATTTGCATGGACATATCATCATTAATTGATGGTTCCGTAGATTTAATAGAAACTTCTATAGAAACAATACCAGAATCAATACATGTTATAGCCTTCTTTTTTCCAAGTTGCTTATTTGATCCATAAATCCTTTTAATTTTTGATATTTTAATATGAGGTATATTAATTAGGAGCATTGGAATTGGAGCAAGTCTGTTTTGAGCTTTATTAATTAAAACTCTTATAATCTGAGGTGCATTATTAAAGCCATCAGGTGTTTCATTTGTGATCTATTTTAGATACAAAATTTTAACAACTTCAATTTTAGCCAAAGATGTTTTAAGATTAGGATTTATTGTAAACATTTCTAGTACCCCAAATATAAGTATTGTGTTTTTTTGTTGATTAAATTTTCTTCTTCAAAGAGATGAAAATATATTCTCTTCAAAATGAAAATTTTAAAAATATGCACCTAATAATGTGCCAATTGATGGATTAACAATACAAATAATACTTGATGAATCAAAACCAATATATATGCCTTCTTTTTGATGAGCTCAAATAGTATGCTATTGAGGTTTTGGTACTAGAATCCAAACACGGTAATCAAACATCCATAGGTGAGATATATTTGAAACATGTCTTAAAATTAGTTCATGTAGTACAATAATTTCAAGAAAAGAAAAAGGGAGGCATATTAATGTTGCAACATGCAAGTTTATATGATTCCATATAAATGCAAGTAAATTTACTTAAAGAAAGAGTGGCTAGATAATGAGTTGTATATGCTTTATAAATAAATTTATGAGTCCATTTTGAGCATGTTCATATAGAACACAATATGTCACCTCAATCTCTGTTACAATACAATAGTCTTTAAAAGACTTTAATGTAATTCTTTTGTATTATCCATATTCAATGTTTTAATAGGATAATCAAGAAAATGTGCTCAAAAACAAATAAGCATGGATATAAGATTGAGAAATAAAATATTTCATATTGATAATGATAAAATATGTGATTGTTTGCCTAATACATTAACAAGACTAAAAAATAACAAAATGGTCTAGATATTGGATTAATGAAACCACAAATATCACCATGCAACCTTCAAGCATTAGTGGTAATTCTCATGGGAGTTTAAAAATTGAAGGCTAAACAATCATTTTGTCTTAAACACATGCAAAACATAATTCCATAGAATCTACATCTATAGGTTTTAAATTATGCCAAGTTATACATGGAATTATCTTTCAAAATAATGTAGAGCTTGAATGTTCCAATCATCAATGCGAGAAAAAAATGTGGCTCTCTATGATAGATGATACAAAATAAAATAAAATGGGAGGTTAGATTGCAATCTGGTATAAACCATTTATTGTATCAAAGGCTTTTTCTACAACTTTATGATTTTGTGTAAGAACAAAAACCTCTCGCCTATTTAAAATTGCAGTTGAGAAGTGATAACTATTCGCATGCACATCTCAATAGTTGATCAGACTTTGAGGTATTGAGGGTGCGAATATTATATGTTTATATTTTATGATAGAATTCACAAGCAATTTTACCATTATTTTTTCTTTTTAGAAATAAAATACATTTGCTCCAACCATAGTCATCAAATTTTTAGTTTTTCAAGTTAAAGATTTTGTAATAAAAAACTATCTATGTTGTAGGTTAGTATGTGTTGTTTGAAAATCAATGAGTATATCATTTGATTCATCATTAGAGGTTTTGTCATTCATATAAGCCTTTAAATCATCAACACCAATTGAGTTTATGGATGCATCTATAATATGAACTTCATCAGCCTTAGCTTGAAGTTTCTTATTTTTTTGGAATATTTTAACAAAGTATTCTGAAGAACAGCATATATGTACTAAATGTTCAATTATTCCTCATCTATAGCAAGAATATATTTTTTATTTTTTTTTTCATTGTAATTATTTTAGAATATTTATTCTTCCATTATAGGCAGAAATGGTCACAATCATGACTGATTTGGTGCTTATGAGCACTTTTTTTTATATTTGTATAATTTTATTCTTAGAATTTAAAATATTAAATGCATGAGATTTTGAAACTTTGGTTCTAATAGAATAAGCTTTTGCATTATGCAAAAATAACTCATTTTTTTTCTTTGCAAGAAATAGATAAGACATGAGATAAAGATGACTGTGAAATTTCATATTCCTACATTGTTGTACAAGCTTAGTAGATGTAGGAAGAAATGTAAAG